ATATGGTATATCTGCGCCATCTTATAGTATATCCAGCACTCGGAGGAATTGTGCAACATGTCTCAATGGCGATATTGTGTGTGTAGATCGAATTGTGTGTAGCTTATCTCAACCGTCTGCGATAATAATTTTTTAATAAATTCTAGATTTACTGACATCTATATATTTGCATAAAAGAGAAACCTACTCCGAGCTGGGCGGCCCGAGAAAAATGTTGGCCCGCCCGGTTCAATAGTTTTTCATCGAAGGCCCGCCTGACCCAGCCCGAAGAGATGCTTGGGCCGGGTCGGGCCAGGCCTGGCTGGATCGTCGAGCCGGGCGGCCCGTTTCGAGCCCTGGTGTGGATGAGATAAAGAAATACACACACCCACACACACACCCACACCCGCACCCACACCTACACCCACACCCTATTCATAACATAAAAATAAATGTATTCTTTATGCTTATAAACAAAAAATAAAAAAATAAAATTTCATTGTCTACAAGATGAAGAAAATTTAAAGAATGAATAAAGATCTCTCTTTGATAAATAAACAAAAACTTCGTTGTGTAACAAAATTAAATATTTTTTTTCTTTTCGCTAATAACAGAATATACAATGTTATTGAAAGCTGAAAACGCTATATGAAAACATATAGAAATAATCTTATATGTATCTACATATTCGCAACTATGGTATTACTATTTTTAGAAATTTACAGAAAATAGAAGATTAGGTCTTCATAGAAAACGTTATTACTTGATATCCGTGATTTTTTATAAATTAAGTGTTCATTTACTTTTTTTTATAACTCAAAAAATTACTTATCTTTATTTTTTCAAATAATGAAGATTTTCTTTTTCTCATCAATCTTAATTTGATAATATGAAAAAGTTTCATCTAGACTCTTATTCTTTATTATGAAGAAGAATAGAGACAGACTAACATTCTCATTCGAAAAACTACTTCCCAAAACTTTAGATAAAATCAAATAGTTGAAAATAAAAATAAAATTCATAGGAATTATTTTTTTATATAGGAAATAGATGATGAACTCAACAATACAAGCGTTAAGCGCGCAGTAGATCGTTTGCGTATTATTGAGCCATTTTGAAAATGCGGTAGACTAAAGCATAAAGTTTTGTCAACAGTTCAACATTTTTAATAAATAATGTTTAAGTAAAAAGTGAATATGACAGAGATACTTATGGAACTTAGTTATTTCATTGCAGCAGGCACAACTTCGTTAAAGCTTCATGGCAGCAATGAAGCATGAATGCCAGAATTCAGTTCTACAGCGACATAAAGTGGTCGGAATTTTATGACCTTTTTAGGGAATAAAATTAAAACGCTCATACACGATCACCAGAAAGCGACTCGTACTCTGTCTTCAACATACACGAGTTTAGATGTGTATGGTTTTTTTGAACGCGTTCAGGTGCATCAAGTGAATTGCTTACAAACGCACAGAGACGCGTAAACGTCTAAAAAGGATTATATGAGCAGTAAAAAGAACATCGTCCAATTATTCTTAATCCAACAAGAAGAGGCAGTTTGTAGTATAGAGTATTTAATTTGACCTTATCCCAGTTTAATTCTACTTCAGACTAATTGCATTCTCCCTAATTAGTACGACGGACACAGATGTTCTGAAATTCTTCGACGTATAGCTGTCTGCTTGCATATTTCACGCAACACTAGTAGGCTACATTTAAAATTTCAGATTATGAGGAGTAGTCATTTTTAAGAATGATAGATGCAATAGGGCTTTGTTGCATCGTCTTAATAACTTATTAGAGAATTCTCGATCTCCTTTTCAATGAAAATCGAGTAGTCTCGTTCACAATACGAGGTCTGTTGATATTTATTGTGATGAAACAGCCTGCATTTTTGATGACATCACATTCACGTATGGCTAGAAATATACTTCAATGGATCTTATCTATGCAAAGAACAAATCGGGCTGCATTTAGACGCGTAAGTGAAATCCAAGAGCATCAGCAAGCGTATAGAATCAACGCATATAATCGCGTGTTGTCCATAGACAGCGTTCGAATGCGTTCAATTTACTTTTGTTAGAAATTATGAGCGCATCTGGATGCAAAGTCGAAATTTTACACCTTGAAACGCGTCCCATAACTAATCTAAACCCGTTTGGATGCATCTCATTTTAATAAATGCGTTTGAAGACGCCTAGTAATTCGCAACGCGTTTAGACACTAGTATCATAGATGCATTTCTGTGCGTTTGAACTCTGGTTCAATCGTAAACGCGTTTAAACGCGTTTGACATGCGTTTGATGGTTACATGGGTGATTTATCTGACAATGATCTTGTTTTGGATTTCGGGTTTAGGAACATGTCAATTAGAAAAATATCGAACAACATCGTTTTGAAATAAGAGGCAGTTCTCATTCAAAAAAAAACATTAAGAAGATCTTGAAATATTTTTCTCTGATGGAATGATGAAAACAATAGTTGAATCAACATTTGTCACTCAAGCAGAACTCCCATGATCATTAACATTTGAAGTTGTACCAGATCCAATGAATAATGATCAAGAAGAACTTGAAAAAGCACAAAACGAGGAAGATGTTTAAAAGAACGTGTCCCGAAAGAAACATCAGAATATCAAGCTGCTTGGATTCTCGAAGATGAAGAAGAAGAAGAGAATGATCATCAAGAACAAGTCTCTCTTTTTATTTTGTTTTTCTCAATCATCATTTAGAAAATCAGTTTTTTTCTTTTTTTGAATAATTTGAAAAGTAATGAAGAAGAAATGGTAATAACAAGTGCTGATGATCTTCAATCAATTGAACAAGAAGAAGAAATGAATGAACTTGCTATTAATCGAAATAATTATGATTAAAAATTTGATCTGAAAGAAGATAAACAAAGGTTTGTTGAAGAAATCAGTTTGACAAAAATCCATTTTCCTTTTCTTTAACGAAATAAGTTTGAAGAAAATGAAAGAATCAATAGATATTCCTGCTTGTATTCAGTTTCAAAAGTAAAATCTTTTTCTTTTTATCGAAATAAATCTCCAACAAAAAAAAATCTCATAGATATCGATCTTTAAAACGTTTGTAGAACAACAAAATGGGATCCAAAAGAAAAATGACCATCGGATTATGTAAGAATTTATCAATTTGTCAACTTTCGATCAATGATTAAACAAATTCAATTAGAACAAAAACTAAAATATCAACAACAAGATTATGACAAAGTATCATCGCATTTATCGAATACAAATCAATTCTATTTCCTTTATTATATAAATTCATCGTTATGCAACTCTCGTTGTTAAAGATGTTCCTGTTCATCGATTTGGCAACACAAGATTCTTTTTTCTTCTCATAGAGAATTGAATACCACTTAAGAAAATCGTTGTTTTTGGAAGCAGGTTAGCATCTTTATTACCATATGAACAATGTCTTTCTGTATTAAATATGATTTTATATCGTACAAATGATAGTGAAATCATTCTTAAATCCGTAGAAAGTTTTGTTTTTCATGTTGGTCATTGTCGATTTGCAAATGCACCTATTTATTCTCAACATACAACTGGAGATAAACATAAGGTCTTTCTCGTATTTAATTATCCTCAAATAAAGACTTCTTTGTGATTTTGTTTAGTTTGAAAGAATTTTTCGACTTCATCAAATATTAGTTGCAACATGTTTTGGTCCAATAACTTATCCACTAGTATCTGTTTTAGCATTTAAACAATATTCTAATGGTTATTTATTCGAATGAAAATATTCGTTGAATTGTTAGGTCGTCAAGAATTAGTTGCCCTATGTTCTCTTCTATCAATAAATCCAGATTGTTTTATATTAAAACGAATTGTTCTTAGTGAACATCCATTAAAAATTCATCAAAAATCAACTGTTATTCGATATATGTTCTTCAATCCTGGCTTGTTCTCATTGATCTTCTTGAAATAGAATTGATTTTTCCTTTCATAGAATGTCAATTGGTTTAAATCAATTGAATAACGAACACGATAGAGACAACGAGGATATTTGAAAGAATCATTTGCTTTGTTAAAGATTTTATTCTTCTCAAATCTAATTAGTAAACCGATATATTTTAGGTAACTGTAGTAACACCAAGTACTACTTGGGATCTATGTCTTCTTGTTTTAATGCTTTGCTATGTCCTTGTTCAAGTGTCATTGACTATATATAATCATTCTCGAACATCTTATATGCTTTCACATATTTAGTTAAAATTATCTAAACTTTGAAATGAAAAAATAGACATTGTAGAACGTTTAGATTCTCTTGTTGATGACATATCAAAATTGTGTCTACAAATAAAATATAATGATCCATTACAACCAAGTTCAGAACAAATAGTTAAAATAACTCCTGAACAGTATTCAAATCGAGTTAAATTAAAAATGGATGATTATGAAGATTATTGAACAACAAATAATTGAATTAATTTACCTAGTGGAAAACAATTAATTAAATCACGTGAACTTTAAAAAAAAATAAACATATTCATCATTGGTTGCAAGCTTCGTGGATGAGGTGCGACAATGTGAATTTCGAGTAAAGATTTTTGTTTTGCCGTTTTTTACATCATTTGATAAAGCGTCAGTTGCTGATCACGAAAATCTACTTTTTAGCCTTAGCAAATACTTCCTTCCGATCGAAAAATGCAAAATACTCCGAAGATATCGTTTTTCGAGAAAAACACATCTTTTTCGAAATGTACAAAACTTTTTGCTTTATCCTTTTGTTCAACTTCTGAAAACAATTTTTTCAGATTCAGCATCAAAAACTACATAGAAAAAAGCTGTTAAATCGACTCTAGACCCAAACTCTATTGGTGGTGGCGGTTCGAATTGCGTCGAGTGCACTAGGTATAGGTTGATTTTGCAAACCTATCTAGTTTTTCTATGTAAACGATGTAGTGAAATGCTTTACCTCATTCTATTTACCATACCATCAGCCACAAAGTTACGGATAATTTTTTCTTCTTTTCTTTCCTGTGTTGAGAAAAATCGTTTTTACTAGTACCATAACCATTTTAGACGGGATTCATCGATTTTCTAATTCAAATAAGGCTTTTTGTCAATAACTAAATAGAGATTCTGAATCAGCACAAAAAACTGAGTCAAATTAAGTATCTTTCAAGCTACTTTGGCAACTTTCAATTTTTCTCATTTTTTTCAGGTATCGTCGGAGGACTGCAGTAAATGAAAGAATTCAATGCTAATAGCATTCAAAAAAAAAGAAAAAACTTCTAAACAGAAAAAAAGTAATGAGGGTAAATTTTTCGATGCTATAATCTATATAAAATTTTACCCCATGTTTCTGAGAAGGTATGGGGGTAATGGGGGTAACATTTTATATAGATTTTAGCATCGAAAATTTTACTCTCATTACCCCATACCTTCCCAGAAACATGGGAGTAAAATTTTATATAGATTTTTGCATAAAAAATATCCCCCATTACTTTTTTCCGTTCAGAATTTTTTGTTTTTTTTGAATGCTATTAACACTGAAATCCGGTATTAACTCAACATACCACTGATGTTCATCAAGCCAAAACGGAGTTTCAAATGTATTAATTAGTGAGTTCTGCGACTTATTCATCGGTGACGTGGATGTGCTGCAGATTTTTAAGCATTCTGAATCGAAGCGTTTTATGATTGGGTAAATGATCGGTAATCATCTGTTTCCATTGATGTCCATTGAAAAATTACATCCCATGTCGATGGTTAGATGTCGGAGACAAGGCGTGCTTCGAAAAAGATTTCTCAAAGCATGTGATTTACCACGACAGACGAGTTTTAAGGCCGTAAATGATGTTCGAAACACTGGAAACTTTTTATTTTCATTCGGTAATTCTAGGTACAACAAAAGAACTCGAAGTCCAGGTGTATATAAAAATAAAAAGAAGCAAATCAATAGTTATGACCGAATGGGGGTGGTTGTGATTGTGAGTGAAGAGGCGACCCACACCCACACCCATTCTGCTCGCGTACCAAAAATGTTTCGACTCGGCAACCATCGCTCATGACTCATGTTATCCATGCCCACAGTTTTATATGCTTCATGTTTGTGCTTTGCTTTAATTGCTTTTCATTCTTCATAAGTAACTTGTAATCAACACTATGTCCCTTTAGGCCCTATCATGAGTAGAGAGTTAAATAAATCGCAAAATAGCAGTTTCGATCGAGTTTTATTTTATCATAAGTATTATCTACTTTAGCTCGTTCAGATGATTCTTCTCTAACTTCACATCACCAACATTATAGTGAAGATTTATACGATCTATTGGAATGAAGGAGTCAAGTAATATAAGAATGATATTATTAACTATTTACTGGTCATTTCTCATAAATGAACTAAAAATCAAAGTCAAGAGAGAGATAGAAAAAAGGCTGAGTATGTTTTAGATTTGTTAGCTTAAAGAACTGTGTTCATTTTTCTTTTCTTCATTACAAATGCCTGAAACATTCTGATCATCTGCTTTATATTTATTTTATTAAGATTATTTTTCAAATAAATGTTTAACTAAATATTGCGTCACTTGAAAACGAAATATGTGTCAAAATAATTTCAGTACAAATAATTGTCATGTTATTCAAAGGAATTGTTATGCGTAATAAACTTTTTATCTTGGATCGTTTTTTTTTGCATAATCGTAGTCAATACATTCTTAATATTGTAATCCAAGTCGACTGTCAAGTATTATTCATTGCTATGTTTGCTTGGTCTTATCAAATGTATTTTGTATCAAAGAGGTTAATAAAATCCGATCTTAGAAAGTTGATGAATCATAAAAGTTACGAATGACGATATTTGAACGAAAAGTTTTGATGTTTATATTTCTATGGTAACATTCTATGAAATCTTACAGATAGAGAAAGATGAGAGTAATGCAATTTTACCTAGCACTTCAAGAATATTCATATCAATAATTCTGATATATTCTACGATCAACTAACATAGATGATCTTGAAAGTCTCGAAACTTAATATCGTTTTGAAAACCATAAAACTCTTTTCTTGACTATTTTTTACATTTTTCGTTTTATTGAAAACGGTTCTATGACCAATGTAGTACTTTTGCTTTTTTCAATCTACCATAACAACCAATACACCGGAATAAATTGAAATACTTTGAGTTTGATGCAAATTTTGTACACTTCAACAATAACATAATATTCTTCCATTCTCGCAGGCTTCACTATATATCTCTCGCAAAACTTATGTATCGTTATATATGAAGCACGAAAACAAAAAAGTGTTTATCAATATCTTCAAGAAAAAATAAAACTGCAGTCCATTAGTGAGTAATCGAGATAACAGAAAAATTGTGTTTGTATCCTTGCAACTATGTTTACTTGACTGACGAAAACTAGCCTCAATAAAAGTGTTCTTATCTTAACAACTACATCTACTCAATCCTGGCATTTGCTTTGGATTCATTTATCTATATATATATAGAAGTATACACTTTGTTAGTATTCTAAGTAAAAACATTGTTAAAATCCAGAATATTTATCCAATAAAGTTTTAAAATTTTTTCTATAGAAAAAAAGAAAAGCAGCAATGGCCTTCGGAGAACACAGCAACATGCGTATTCAGATCGGACTGGTTATAATTGGTCTGTTTGTAATAATTACTTTTGCTCTTGCAGCTGCGACTCTTGGCACTCTTAACAAACGATTCAATTATCTAAATCAACAGGTAGATGGACTGCAAGAACTAGTGTCTTATATTGATAACCGATTACCCACGGCACCCACATTAGCAACAACTTTACCTTCGATTACGACAATGACTACGGATACCCCTACAACTTCAACGACGACTAAAACAATGGCTGATACTACGGCTCCAGCTACGGCGATAACTTTGTTTGGAACTTAAACAAAAATAGTCTAGCTTAATACAGTGATAGTCGCTTCATTATGTGTGGTTGATTGTTGATCTTCAGACATTCTATATGCATAGGGCACGCCAAAAGTTTTCCCCCCGGTTCTTCTAAAAGCCTCAGTTTGAGTTCAAGTATTCTGTTATAATGCTTAGACATATTTAGGATAATGTGCAAAATTTCAGACTTCTAAGTCTTGTACTTTGCTGTAGCCGATCATTTCTTTTACGCTAATAACATGGCATCTTCTATAAGCTACATAGCAGGTGACTTACAAAAAAAATGGTGGAACTTTGCATTTCATATTTTGATACCTAACAAAATTTTATTTAAAAACAAACTATACCAGAAGATGCAGCGTGAAAAGCTGTACAATCTACAATGTAAAGCTTATGTTGATTGTGCATGTTTTGCTTCGAAATAAACAGTATTCTGAGCGACCAATTCTGGACTCTGCGAAAAGTAGTTCAGAGAATTTTGCTTTTTTCCAAAAAGCAAAAGAATATAGTTAAGATAAACTGTTGTTTGTAATTTGTAGAGTTTTTCACGCTGCATCCTGTGGTGTATCTTGTCCTTTTTGAAACACAACATATCAGATGCTGAATAAGAAAAAAGCGTGTTCATTGCATACGAAAAAAAACACTTTTTTGCAAGGTCAAAATTGGATCGTTCAGAATTTTGTCGATTTTCGAAACAAATAAATGCAACTGTAAAATAAGGTATCTTATGCAAATTGTAGAGCTTTTCACGCTGCATACTGTGGTATGTTTTGTTTTTTGTTTAATAGAAAATATCAGATAAAGCAAGATGAAATAAGAAAGAAGCGAATTAATCTTTAATCAAAAAAACATTGTTTTTGCAACATCGACGTTTGATTGCTCACAACTTTGCCGAATTTTTAACACAAAAAATGCAACTGTAAAATGAATTGTCCTGCGTAAATTATAGAGCTTTTCACGCTGCATCTTCTAACATATTTTGTTTTTCTAATAGAAGGAATTTAGGAATCAAAATATGAGACGCAAAGTTCTCTCATACAAGATGAGTCATCCGCTAGCAGACTGCATGACCTAGCGTAAAAGAAATGATCGGCTACAGCAAAGTACAAGACTTAGAAGTCTGAAATTTTGCACATAATCCTAAATATGTCTAAGCATTATAACAGAATACTTGAACTCAAACTGAGGCTTTTAGAAGAACCGGGGGAAAAAACTTTTGGAGTGTCCCATGTATTTGTCACTTTCTCATCTCTTCTTGCATGGTTCCTTTTTTCCATTCAACTCTTGAATAAAAAGTCACGCATCAAATTATTTTGTTATCAATAACGGCCATTGGTTTATCGTTGCTTAATTCAGTTATTCCCATAGTCAATTGAAATAAAAAACTAAATCTAACGATTTTACAATTCGAACGTATGTATCGAACATAAAAACAATATACACAATGTTGTTAATTAACATTTTACTTTGTCTATGTTCGAATTTCTGTATAATATCTTATTCTTATTTTCAAAGATAGTAAAAAGAATTTA